AGTGATTTGGAATTTTCCTGTTTGACTCTCCCATTTGCGTTCAAGTCTATGTACAGCATAAGATTTAACCAACTTGGCTTCTTACATCTCCCTTCCTTGTCAGAAATGTAGCCCATTCTCTAGAGCATCCATTGGGGTTCTTTCTTCCTGTTGAATCCCCACTAGTTGTCCAAGTTGCTTAACTGCTGAAATGTTTTCCATCATCTTTAGATCATTTTGATATCAGTTTCACGCCTGCTTCAATTCCATTTTATGATTGCCATTTAGGTATTTTTGAGATTCCTATCCAGAAGCATACATGCCTCTTAGATTCTCACTCCCAGGAACCATTTTCCAGATGTCTTTCTGGTGGGAAGTTCAGTTCCAATCAAGCAGTCTCTGCTTTAAAATGGCTTTGATGAATGATCCCCAGGAACCTTGCCAGTCCCTGAATGATCACACAGCACCCTAGGTGAGAAACATTAAGTGCTTTCTGTTGTTGCTCCATCCCCACCCTATATGAACAGATTAAGTAAATATAGTTTCGTCTGGCACCGTTCTACTGTTTTCATTCTTCAAATCCTAAAAATGCACATACACTTTGACCGTTCAATAGTCCACAGTGCTGGAGCTGGGGCCTCACTGCACTTCACCTCATTGACTGGTGACACCTCCAAAAGCAGTGTGGCTGCAGTTTGTGTCCAATGAGTCCTGGGTGCAGGACAGTGAAATACAAACTCGAAGTTAGCCACTTCACAAGCCAGGGACCCTAGTGTCTGCAAGAGGAACATCCTCTGTCTTTTGCTGAACCTGTCATCACCTAACCTTCCCCTTCAGCACAGTTTAGGCACTGCACATTTGTTATTCAAAATGCCATTGTATAGCTTATCTATTCCCTCTGTCCTGCTTTCCTAATTATGTAAATTACCCTGCCACATTTAATTCACACTTTGAGAGCAACATAATGGACATTACCACTACCAGAAAACCACTCGAGCTGGGGTATCAGTATCACCTTCATAAATCATCAGAGTATTATTATTAATACTGCTGTTTTACCAGGTTACTAATGAAACAGAAACCCTTGCTACCAACCCCTCTTCCCCCAACCAGTGCCTTCCTGTTCCTCTCCTATGTGACATAGGACCAACTGGGATTGTTTTGTACCCTGGAAGTGCAACAGTAAATGAAACTGTTGGTCTTTCCCTCTCATCTGGCAGCAACCTTTTTCTGTATTGAATAAGGGATCTCTTTCCCACCCAGATTTCCCACACTATTGCTCTTGACCCCTGAACACAGACCCAGACCCTTTGCAGCTTTCCCACCAGCTTCATCTGCTTCTACCATCCCCTGCTCCCCCTTCAAGGGAGGGAAAGGCAGGATGGAGTGCCAGTCAAGAGGATTACCCTTACCCTACTCCATTCTCCCTTCTCCTGTCACCAATTCTGGCCGGCTGTCGATCCTATCAGGGGTCCATAAAGCAAGGAGGACTCTGGCCTGCGAGAGGGGGGTAGGGGTTAGGCAAACAGGCCAGGGAGGCACTTGGTTGAAGTTTAACCACAATATTCTTGGTCTCTATTGTTTTGAGTGAGGCCCAATATTTCCACAGCAGGATTATAGGATCTGATTAACCATGGTAGACAACAATGCCGAGCTGGGATGGGCTTCCCCTTCCAGCTGCCAACATGAGAAAGTACATACAACACCCAGGTTTCAGAAGGGACTCCCAGCAGCCCCCAGCCCTATTCCCCATTTCTAACCCATCTACTGTTTGGGGGCCCAAAGTGAGAGGAGGAAGAGTGTGGCACTGCCTGCTCCTTTAACTCCTGGCCCTTGGCCCAGCAGGACAAGTAATCCTGGCACAATCTTCTCAGGTGAGTCAATGGCTGTGTGCTCCCCACACCCTGGAGTTCTTCCAATGCCTCTTCCGGGTTCCCCTGGGCTGGCCCCGATTCTCAGGAACCCATGAGGGTTAGGTGCTGAGAGACTAGCACTCTCAAAGGGCCCAGGAGTGTGCAAAGCACAGAAAAACCTGTTGGGCTCCGGGAGAGAGAAACTCAGTGCAGACAGGACTCAGCTCGGAAGAGAGATCAAACCTTTGCAAGAACACTTTGGTGCTACTTCCTTTGTGCCAAGGTGGAGAAATGAGACCTCAGAACTGAGGGGACACAGAAAGGGCTACCGTCAAGCAGAACCTCAGGAGATGGGACAGTATCCCTTGAAGGATCTGGGATGAGGAACCAAGGAGTTAGGCTTCCAGCTCCTCTCGCAGACAGGGATTCCCCAGGCCCCTCGCCCTCACACCCAGACAAGCTACCTCATACTCATCCCTCTCAGCGTGTTTCCCCTTAGGGTGGGCTCCTCTGAGGCCTGTCCACCAGAACTCGGAAGAAAAAGAGAGCAATACGGAGCGCTTGACAAGAATACCTGGTAGCAGCCCCCAGGCCATGGCAGCGGGGGCCCTCCAGCGCCCCCTCCAGCACAGGCTCCCTTCACTCCCAGCATTTGTCTCTGTTTCTTAGTGCCTGGCACAATCCATTCCCAGTTTGTGAGCCCACACATTAACTGATGCTGGTATCAGGGACTAGGAACCAAGGGCCTTGAGCTCCGAGTTCAGTGGCTTCCTTGTAGTATGTGACTTACTCCTTTTGAACAGTTTCTTCAGGAAAATTAGAAGACAGAAAATACTTCAGAGCAGAGTTTTTAAAACCATATCCTGATTGTATCAACATACAGTTAGCATAAAGTCACACCTGTTAGTAGTAGTATGCCACCACTGTGGTGTTTTCTGAGTTAGGGTTAAAACTGACCCTATTCTCGAAGAGTATAATATAATGAAGGATGAATACAAAAAGCCACAGGAAATGTGTATATAAACACACAGCACATTTAAGAACACAAATAGTGAGGAGTCAGCAGAACAGATAAAGTAGGCTTATCATATCATGAGGAAGGGCTAATAAGAGGATTTTAGGTTTCCCCTGTACTCTTTGGGGCAAATCTTTCTTTGTAAATAGGAGAAACTGAGCGATACGATAATTGGAGAGAAGGAAATACCCATGGTGACAACGTCAACAATGAGACTAAATTCAGGACCAGGAGAGGCACAGCCTTTTCCATTACATCTCCTGCCACCTCTGTACAGAGAACGACACATGTTGCTTCTGCTTATCTCCCAGACCAGGGCATAGGAGGCAGGGGCTTCAGAAAACAGGAACTTTAAATGGCTAGGAAGGCAAGAAAAGGGTGTCCAAATGTCCCAGAGGAGAATATTAGGAAGCAGTAGGGCTGGGCATTCAGGAGATTTGAGCATCTGTCCTTCCCCTGAGTGCTCACTGCAGGTGAGCTGCGTCAGGCCTGCGGAAGGGTCCCCCGCTGACGGCTGGGTTCTTTCCAAGTCCAGAGCATAGGGACTACAGGTCTCACTCTTTGCCATCCTACACCCTAGCAATTCCAGGGCTGGCTCCTCAGGATCCAATGGGAACATGGAGACTAGAAGCTCTTTGCTGTCCTCTCAATAGCTTTACTATCCTTGGGAAACACTCCTTGATCTGGGGGACGGGCCAACTGGTGACAGGAGAAGAGAATGACCCTAGTGGGGTTTTCCAGGATCCGGCTGGGGCTCTGCTTTCAGGGCTGCTGGGAAAGCCCTCACTGAGGAAAGGAGGTGCCCAGCTGGAGTGCTAAGGGACGAAGACTTCTCTTCCAGCAAAGAGCCTGCCTGGCCTAGCTGACTGCGGGGGAGGGGTGAGCCAGCCAGCAAGGCCAAGCAGGCCTTGCAGCCTAGGTGGCGCTATTTCTCTACTTTTTAGGTCAAGTTCCTGCAGGAACTTCCTCGAGGTCCCTAGTCCTGCTCCTGGTTTGCTGGCTTGCTCGTGTAAACCACCTTATTTTATTTTTTTTTCTAAAAATACTCCAAAGCAATTGAAAGAGTCCCTTCTCCCACCAGCCAGCCCTGGCCCCAGCCCCGGCCCCGGGGAGCGGGCGGGTAGGCGGGGAGGTGGGCCACTGCTTTATTAAACACAGGGAAAACTAATATTTACGGAATAAAATTTATGGAGCAGCCACGAGAATTCGACCCTTTTATGTGCATGTGGAGTGGGGGTTGGGCCAGGCTGGGGGCCTTGGGGAGGGGCCCAAGCCAGGGGGCAGGGCTGGAATACAGCCTGGCTAAGGCCAATTTGTCAAGGCAGGGATTTCCCTGGAGTTGCCCTGGGATGAATGATTCTCAACCACCACCCCTAGCTTTGGGGGGACAAGAGCTTCAGGGCAAGAATGCTTGAGGCAGGGCCTCTGGGAGCAATGTTTCTCTAAGGATGTGTTTGGGCAATATCCCCTGGAGGCAGCAACCTTTGGGGTTAAGGACGCAATGGGCAGGGACGTCGTTAGGCAAGGCATACTCTTCCTTAACTTTTAAAAAGTCACACATTCTTTTGAGAACATGAAAAAAGTTACGCTTTTAGGATTTTACTTAAGAATTTGAGGGAATTCACAAATTCCTTATCCCCTCTGATTAAAATTGTCTGCTCTTGAGACTGTGCACTGAGGGCAGAGGGAGAAGCCTTTCCCTTTTCCAGTGGTCTCAGGTCTTGCAGACTGAAATCTGGCTATCTAAATTATATCAAAAACAAACTATAGAGCAAAGTGAGCCATCCGATAGATTGTTTTAACATAGCTCTCAGTTCATTTCACTGATGGTCACAACTGTGGGGCACACCCTGGGGCACCCTGAACGGAAGGGATGGAAAGTTAGCAGCAACTGTGTATGAGCCCTGGGGGCCCTCTCAGACTCTGCCAGAGGGGGAAGGCAGTGGTCTTGGAGTCCTGAAAGGCTCTTCCCTGAAGAGCCTATGGGGAGTAAGTAGGACATCCTATTGAAAGGAAGCAGGGCCACAGGAGGATGGTTACAGTGGAGAATAGGAAAGAAGGACTTAACATCCTTGTTAGAAAATATTTTCGGTAAAGTATATAATAATACTGTCTGGGTTCAAATTCTGTCTTCTATTTATTAGCCTGTCACCTTTGATAAATCACTTATCACTCCAAGCCTTGTAGAAATAGGTTAACAGTATTTTCCTTATATGATGCTGTGAGCATTAAATGTCAGACACCTATTAGTGTACCTGGTGTACATGAACTGCTCAATAAATGTTAGCTGTTTATTATTATTGGTCTTATTATAATCATCATTATTTTATTATTGCTTGGATGGTCTTCTCCCCCATGTCTTGACATAAGGACAGAAGTACCAGTCCCAGCTAGAGAGGATATGTGGACAAGGAGGCATCTGCTCATCCCAAGTAAGTAGACCGGCAAAGGCCTCTGTGGTTCTGCCCTGACCCTACCCAGCAGTGCCCATGAACATCTGAGTTCTCCTTTCCTTCCTATCTCTCCAAGGTGGAGTTTCAGACAGCCTTACCTGTAGAGGACAACCTAGCAAGAAGGCTACAGGACTTGGCTAGTCCCCCAAAGAGTTTGCTTCCTACTGTCTAAGATTCTGCCTTTGTCACTCAGCCTGTACATTTTTTTCCCTGCTAGGCACTATTCATTCTTCAGGCACATCAAGTTGGGCAAAGGAGAGCAGCAGCAATCAGTTCTGTCTGTGCCCACCAAGGAGAGAAGTTTTAAGATCAAAGATCCCAAATGGAGGCTTAGAACAGGTCACAGAGAAAAAGCATCAGAAGAATCTGAAGTATTGGACTAAAGGCCTAGACTTTGTCAGAGACAACAACGGGGTGGGACCCACTAAAGTGAAGTGGGTTGTCTATGCGTTCCATAGATTAAGGAATCTCAAAAGCAGGGGAGTGTGAGTGCTTTTTATTCCACTCTGAAGACAGTAGTGGGTCTCTCAGGGAACACCTAGGACTGGCTAGGGACACTTGAGAAAGGGAGACAAGGCTTCCTAAGCATATTGTGCCTTTTTGCTGACTTGCCCTATTACCTGAAGTTCCTGGTAGGATCCTAGGTCTAAAGAACCACCCCTGTAAAAGAAGAGAGTATGGGATTCCCAGAAACCGGCTTCCACTCAGATATGGAAGGTGAATGCCCTACAGGCAGGAGCCAAGATTCCTTTGGATAACAGTACCCATGCCTGTCAACATGAACTTCAGTTGTGTTGCCCTTACAATGGGGCTCTGACTGTACAACTCTGTGTCAGAGCTACTGCTGCCATGGGAGTTCCTCTCGGTGACACTAGGAAACTATTCTCCAAGTCCATCCTCAGCTGAGACAGTTGACAGGTTAACTGAAGAGTCCCCTTAGCTTCTTCCTCTTGACCTTTGATGGCTGAGGTCTCTGCATAGGGCCTGAAGTATTCTAGAAAAAAAAGGAACCCAAGTTAATAGAGGTTTTGAACAGTTCCACTTAAGTTAGGAAAGCAACTTCCTCCCTTCCATGGCACAGGTGTTTTGAAATCTATGTCAGGCAGTGAATGCGATAAAAGGCTCTATGTGTACACAGATGTGTACATCCCTTTTCCCCTGGGAATGACCATCACTGGAAGTGGGATAACGTAGGAATGGAGTCTAGGTCCATCTTCAGCAAAAGAATTGCAGAGAGGACACAGCAAGGGGAGATGCAAAAGACCAAGACTCTCCATCTAGAAACCATTTGTAATCCTGGTCACAATATCACCAATATCGTAAAGGCAGCATCACCCAGATGACAATTCCAGGGACCACTGGTTTGGGGGCTATAGGTGCAAACTCCTCCAACTCTCAGAATGTCATCCAGGAAGCTGCTCATGACTCACTGTGGACTCTTTCTCAGGCTCAGGGAGCAGTGGTGCTGAGGAGACTGGCTCTTTTGGCTGGTTCAGAAGTTGGTTATCACTTCCTTGCAGGGAGGCACTGCTTGAGGCCTGAGGATCTCCTGAAATCAGAAAGATCAGGGGAAGATAGTGACAAATGTCTTTTTCTTATCAGAAAGGCATTAGCATTTATCAAGCATTCTGATAAAGACCAGACTATGGTACTAGTATATAAACAGAGAAGTAGCCATAAAGTCAACTTTCAGCTAACTCTCAGAAAGTCCTGTTTCTAGATTCCCTGTGAAGATTCCCCAGGCCCACTTTAACCAGGGAGGACAGGAGTTTCCTTGACTCAAAACAGCCAACTGTTCTTCTACACATTTCCTACCAGGTCTCAGGTAGGGAGATTAATCTTACTCCTGGTTCTCTCACTCATTCTCCTAAGCACCTAGACCAGTTCTCTAGAACTTTCTGCAGTGGTAGCTAGGACAAATGACACTAGAGCAAATGTGGCTTGAAATGTGGTTAGAGCAAATGCAGAGATGAGTTTTTCACTTTATTTAGTTTTAATTAATATAAATGGAAATAGTTACAAATGGCTAGAACTACCATATTGGACAACACAACCCTAGACCCTAACCCTAACCCCAGGGTGTCCAAGTACCTCTGGAGCTACTCACCAGTGTCTTGATCCACTTGGATCTCTTGTTTAGTGACTGCCATGTAGAGACTCTGTAGATTCATCACAAAGGGTTTTCCATTGCCAATGCTGCATGCCTCCGGTAGTTTCTACAGAGGAGAGGAGATGCTGTCATTGATTACACTGTTGCTAGAGAAAAAGAACTTGATATCCCAGTGGAACCAACCCCAGAAGAATTTATATAGAGAGGTTACATCCAATGTAGGACGTCCATAGCCAGACCTTGTTGGGACCAATTTAAAAAAGGCCTCTTGGGAGGACTTCTCTGAAAGGCAACTCCAAATGTAGATTTTTCTTTTCCCCAGTACTTAGGTCTGTTATGTTTTCTCATGGATACTCCATAGATCTCTAGGCTCTTTCTTCCAAAGGGTGACCTCTTAGAGGACTGTTTTAGGAAATCATCTTCCCTAAATTGTCTCTCAGCTGTACGGACTCCTATTTTAATTAAATTTTCTCCTAAAGTCCAACACGAAAGAGAGAAAAAGGATAAAATCCAGGAAAGGGGAGAGAGAGCAAAAGGGAATGACAGACTGAGAGACAAGAACAATTTACATAGCTGTGATGTCCAGTCAGAGGGGACGGGAGAAATACGGTTTGCAGACCTGTGGAAGCTTACCTGCCATTTTATATTTCTCACTGCAACCCCACTGTGTTTTACTGTAACCCTCAAACTCACAATGGGGGTGATATTTCCCCCAAAAGGGAAGAAAACTGGTTCTTGAGAGGTGAAAAAAAATCTTACTCTTTTGAAGTATAAAGCATAGATATACATACAGTACTTAAATAGAATTTTGGTACATCTGCAGTATTAAAATTCTGAGGAGGGCTGATTAGGAAAAAAATATCTTAAAAGGATCCTTAGGGAGGTGATAATGAAAAAAGAGTTGAGAAATACTGCTATAATCACACTATACTTACCTGTTTCCTTCACTATGGAATGATGGAGTGAACTGTGGATTTATACCCACAGCAACATGCTTTGCCTAGTTCAAGTTTCAGCCATTACTTGCCTGGACTGAGTTGAAGTAATGACTGAAGACTGAAGAAAGTGAAGTAAAAGTGAGATGAAAGTGTATGGTATCCAGTGGTCCCAAACCTGACTGCACTTCAGAATCTTGGAAAAGACCCAGAACTACTTCATCTGTCACTATGCATGCAAATGGTCACGGTTCTCAGCCAAGTTAGCAGGTTGCCAAGGCAGGCCATGCCAGCAACTCACATGGGAACCAACCCAAGAATCCTGGATTGGCCAGCATCGCGTGTCAAGGCACTCCCTGTGCTACAAAGGGCATTCATTTCTGAAAGCCCACCGTGGGAGAAGGATGGAAGGAGAAAGTAGAAGAGGCAGTGACATAGTTGCTGAAGCATAGACAGGATTATATGGTTATCGTTCCTGAGTATGGTGGTACCAGAAAACCTTGTTGATCCCCAGGAAATGTAACATACTCCAACCTTATTTCCATAAAGGCTTTATCAGGCTTTGGAGTCCACTGGAAACCACAATGAATCAGGAGCCTTGAGCCCAAACTTTACTTCTAGCTAGTAGTCAAACAAGGAGTAAAACAGCCCTCTTGAGCAGCATTCCCTGAGGAAGGGTCTGAAACAGGAAAGGGAAACCAACAGGCCACACACCTCCACCTTGCTTCACTCTCTTTCCTAGCTTCAGCTCTCCAGTCCCCAAGCCATCACCTCCAGCTAAAGGTCCTCTGCTCTGTAGCCAGAAAGCCCTGACGGCAGAGAGGCCAACAGCTGTTCTCCATATAGCTTGTCTCTAGGCCCTCCCTTAGTATTGCCTAAGAAATGTGGCTTCTCTTCGGATTATCCATACATGGCTCAGTAGACACTGTGCTGTCTGTACAAATGGGCTAGGCAGCATCTATTTGGTCCAGGGTCATCTCCTCCTGCACTTTCTATGGAACTAAACAGGCTCACAAGTTTTCTAGGGTGATCTTTAGCCAGCTTTGGTATTTAGTCTCAAATTGAAGTGCCAGAAACAAAAAGCTACAGAAGCCACTGCTGCCCTGGACCTCAGTCCAAATCTAGAACCTGTATCCTAGCCCTTTCTCTGTTCTTCCCCATCGCCAAGAGATTTGGTCCTCTAGTTGCGGCACAGGTTACCCTACCTGAGTACCCATTCCTGGAAAAGTACTAGGAAGGGAATATTGGTACCTTTGCTGCCTATTTACTATATGCTAGACACTCTTCTAAGAATTTAAATGAACTAGCCTATTTTGTCTATTCCCTGCTATTTCCCTGGCACCTAGAACAACCTGACCTACAGTAGGGGCTCAGTAACTGTTTGCAAATGAGTGAACATAGTAGGCACTAGTATGGGCCCACCTTGCTGAGGTAGTCACAGCTGATAAGCCGTGGAGCTGGAGCAGGATCCAGACAGGCTGGCTTCAGGGCCCACACGTATGACTACCCTGATGACTTCTCTGAACATCAGAATTTTAGTCAAAATGGCAATACAGCCTTTCCTGGAACCATAATCTTCAGTCCCTCACATCCACAGATAATTTGCCTACATTCCCATCCAACTCACAAACAAGCTTCCTCAGGGGACAAGAGAGAAGTGAACAGATAAAAAGAAGGCAGTTGGCCCTACCTGGAACCCTCAGAGACTGAGAGGCCATACCCTTAATCCTATTCTTGCTGTTCCATCATCACTGTTTCCTTGGGCATCATCTGGGAAGAGACATGGAGAGAGGTCCGAGCTTGGGAAGGAGAAATATTAGCTCCCCATGTAGGACAATGGTAGGGGCGAGCTGGGACGGGCAAGCAGCAGAGATCAAAGGGAGAATACTAGAGCCAGGACTAAGTAAGAAAGGCAAACAGCAGTGCCCCTGCTATACGTATGAATGAGCCAGGAGCAAGATGTACCAGCCACAGAGCGGGTCACTGCCCAGAGCGGGGAGAGGAAGAAGAGACAGGTCGGTCTATTGTAATAATGTATTCACTTGATTAACCCAGAGTCAATTCTACTCAGCAAAAAAGCTAGTGAAATTCTACCATGTGCCAGGCAGTAAAGCATAGCTGGGTGGAGGGAGCAGGAAATAGACGCACCACTCCTTCCCTCCTCAGAACGGGACACAGTTAGTTAAAGACAAGTAAGTCAGAGTCCCTGCCTAAAAGAGTTTATATTCACATGTGGGAGATAGGCAGATATATGGTTTTCTCCCCAAGCTTATGCTATACAGAGTTATAAACAAAGGGCAGTGAGAACCCAGAGTAGTAGAAAGTGACAAATTCTGACTGAGAGTCCTGCAAAAAGCTTCAGAGGTGGTGATATCAAGTTAAGCCTTGCAAGGCTAGACTTTGAATGTGGTGGAAGCATCAGGCACGAAGGTATGAAAAGTCAGGATACGTGGACATATCTCATGGGAAATGAAACTAGAAGGCGAAATTCTTGTCCACCAGATCACTGAGGGATTCATTTTCTGCATTAAGGATATGCCCACGGGAATTACCTTTCATTTCAAAGAACAGCTTTCTCTATGATGCAACTGCTTACCAGGGCTTCCTTGGCTCCAAACTACTACTGATACAACAATGATGAGCAATCAGAAGCTTCCTCTAGGCTTCCCTTTTTAGTCATCCTGCTACATTTAATACCTCTTCACCTCTTACTGCTGGACTGTGACTCTTCAATAGCCACAAGAGTTGTATTACTCTCCCATCTCCAATTCACTAGGACTTTGGGCCTTGCTCTACAGCCATATCAGAAGCTTTAGGGACACCAAAATTATAGAAATCCTGTAAGGTATTTTATTTCCCCTTCTTGTCCCTACTGCAGCCCATCTTGGTTCCTAGGGTCCAAACACCTCTCTCTCAGGGACACATGTCTGTTATTCTCATTATCATCAAGTCTAAAACTCACTACCAGGAGTCCAGAAATTCTTAAGACTCCCTCCTATTCTCTAATCCCAGCTGGATCTGCTGGAGCAATCCCAATTGTCACTTTCAACTAGAATTAAGAGGTTTGATTTCCCACCCCCAACTTCATCCTTCTTTCCTCTGAGGTTGTTTCAGAAAAGAAACCTTTAGAATCCGGGGTAAAGAAAGGCTGGACCCTGATTTACTGCTTACCATACCCAATGTGGGCCATAGGCTAAGGATACAGGTTTAACAGGCAGAGGAGAAAGGGGAAATGAGAAACTGGAACTCACCAGCATCAGCCTTGAACAGGCCTTTGGTTCCGGTACGAGCCCCAGAAGCTGGCACAGCCCCAAGGCCCTGATACTGACTGTCATAATATCATAACCACTGGAGCCCCCAACACATGATCTCCTAAAGGTAAGAAATTTTCTCCTCCCTCTTACAATCTGGTAAATTCTGCTGGTACTGGATTCAAATTTCCTTCCCTAAAGAGCTCAAGCCTCAGTTTAGGAAATCATTGTAATTTTCATCATTAGCAACTCTGATGGTTTAGACACTGAAAAACTCTTCTAGGGTCTCACATTACCCAAGGTTACCAAAATAAATAGAAGAGAACAAGAAAAACGGCTAGGAAGAGGACTCTAATGAGAAAGACTCTTTAAGGAATTAGACTCCTCCCCACCCCACCCCCAAATCATGCATTCAACAAATATTTACTGATCTATGGTGTTGGATGACTTAAATGCTGTGGCTACAGTATATTGAATGAAAGATAAAAATCTCCTGCCCTCTTGAAGTTTACATCCTAGAGAGGGAAGATCAACAACAAACATATAACTTATTAAAACATATACTCTATCAGATGGTGATAGCACCATGGAGAAAAATTAATCAGTATAGGCATTATGGATAGGAGTGGAAAGTGTTACAATTTTAAATGGATGCCAAAGAAGGTCTCACTGAGAAGGCAGTATTTTTAAGAAGACCTAAAAAGAAGTGAGAGAATGATCCATGTGGCTACCTGTGTCAAAACTAGATGTCCAGTTTGCCTGAGTCCAGTCCCAGTTTGTGCTTATTGTTGTTTATTAATAGAGCTCCCATTGCCTCTTATAGGTGTCCCAATTTGGACAATAAATTAGACGGTCACCCTTATCAGAGGGAGTATCACGGGCATGTGGATATGTGCCTGTGTATTTATTTGAAATCATAA